GGAAAAGAATAATATTGAACCAAATTTTAAATTTAAATTAACAAAACGAAAGCAATGTGAAATATGTATGTATACATGTAAAAACAATAAAAAAGGAAAATAACAAAAGAAATCAAAAATAAGAGAGGAGTATTACATATAGCACTCTTTTACCACGCTACTCTTATTTACATATTCGCCTCTTCGTTGATGACGTCACCAGCACGGTTGCCACTTATGGTACTTTAGTACCAATTGGTACTTTTTTTTCCGTTTGGTACTCTGGTACTCATGTTCAAAAAATGGTACATTTTCGGCGACCCAACTTTATTGTGGATATTGTATTGTTTTATACTTTTTGCACATTTTATATAAATTGTATTTTCTTATAAAAAGACAATAGAAAAATTTTGGACCTTTTTTTACAGAAATGGTACCTTTTTAAACCAATTTTGGTACAGAAAAAAATTTTCAAGTGGCAACCGTGGTCACCAGCAATCCTTTTATATTCGTACTCTTAAGTACCTTTATAGTATACAGTTTACCGGCTATATACATACATATATATTACGTTAATCTATTATTTTTTTTTTTTTGAATGTACGTTCAGAACCAAATTTAAATGATAGGAAAATATAATCTTAACTAGAATCATACTATAAATGCACAAACTTAATTTTCTAACTCCTTCTGTTTCAAAAATTAATTTAAAACTATATAATAAAAACTATATAATAATAAAAAAAAATCCTAAAAAAACTTTATAAATGATATATGTATATTATTTAAATGAGATAATGAATTTTTTTATTTGTTCGCCACTTAGCTGTTGTTATTGTTGCTGTTTTGATGCTGCTTTCTGTTGAGCTTTTTTGAATTCTGGATAATCAATAAAACCATTACGTGATGTATCATCAAAATGTAAACTGAGATCAATTGGAGCAACTAATTCCTCATCAGAGAAAATCTTTTCTTCAATATGTGGTTTTTGATCTTCAGTATGTTGTTCTTTGCTGCCTTGTTCATGCCAGTGAATAAGTGATTCTATTAATTCTCAGCCATCTAATTTATGAAAATTCACTGTTACCAGTTACTGAATCACAGACAAGAGCAATAAAACAACTATGTAATTGTTATATAACTCAACGGTTATAATACTAATAAACTTGAATTTTCTTTTTTTTTTATTTTTTAAAACCCGTCTCATTGGCATACATTAAATGTTATGCGGAATAAAGCTGGATTATTTTGAATTGTATAATTTGTTTTTTTTTTTAATTATTTTTTTTTTATTATTGAACGCCTTTGTTAATTAGATATTTGTTTTAGGAATTTCTTTTTTTACTCTGATTATTTTTCCTTTAATAATTTTCTTTTTCACATTAAGCTGATGTTGATTGACGTGCAAAAAAAAAAAATAACAACTGGGTTGAAATCACCAACTAAGTACGTGATTTAAACTTTTTTATTACATGTTTAGTTGTTTAATTTTGTGAGTTTTATATACAATTTCTTAGCGCGCTAGTTTAATTTAATTGCATAAATTAGACAACGCTTATTACATGCATAGTTTCTTATTCACAAATAAAAAAAAGGAAAATTATTTCTTATTATTATTTGCAGTTCACGACAAATTATAGTTAATATAAAACAATAAATTGCAATTTCACAAAAAAACTTTTCTAACTCTGTTGCGGATATCGACCGTCACTTTCAAAATCACCCGCTCAAGAAGAAAAAATCAACCACGCACTTCCCTTTTTATATCTCCTGTCCTTGCGTAATTAACCCGTTGATCACCGAATCCCGCACAATTCTCGAAGTCGTTTTTTGAACCGTTTCGTTTCATTACTTTTTTTCTTTTCTTTCTTTGCGCATTCCGAAAATCCCACAATACTTGCATTACTGACTTTTTTATGGATTTCCGTCATTTCTGGATTTGGCTTTGACAACATTGATATTCCTAATTTCTAAATTGCTTAAGCTTTCGCTGCAACTCCAGATCAAAACAAGCAAAGAATGCATAAAAGCTTTTTTTTATATAGTTTTTTCCTTTTTTAATTTTTAGTAATAAAACTAATAAAAAAATAAGTTAATATTATATATATAACAAAAAAATTATATATATATATAGCAATTAAAAAAAAAATTGTGATCTGGTGCTAGTGTTGTTGGTGAGGCACACGCTCACCGTTGAAAAGAAACACTGGTGAAGGAAACAAGTGTTGCGCTGAGTGGTACTGGACGTCGCGGGTGAGCCAAGGTAATGTCATGTCTGCACATTTAATTCTTGTGTACCTAATTTTTTCTTTTCACGCAGGCATAACATAACATAACATACGAGTACGACACGCAATTAGGAATCGGTACGGCTGTTGTAATGGAATTATTAAGCCATTATAAGCATCCATTGCAACATATCGCTCATTTCGATAATTTTTTCACATCATGTCATATATTGTGCTTGTTGAAAGAACGTGGTTCCTTTGTATCTGGCACTTTTCGCTTTAATCGTATTGCTGGTGCTACATTAAAAGCAGGCAAGAAACTCAAAGGGCAGATCGCGTCACAAAAATATTTTGGTAGTTCATTGGATGGTCAATTCTGAAGTTTCTATCGCAACTAATTTTAATTCCGTTGAAGCCATGGTAAATGTTGGTGTCCCACAGCCAAAAGTTATCAGAAGATGTGTGACCGGTATGCGCGCTCCCATAAAAACTGAAAATCGCCATCATTGTAGTGTTTGTACACCAAAAGCCGCAGTTTTTACAAGTGAAAAGTATGATATGCATGGCCATGTGGAAATTTGCTTTGAAATTATCCATGAACATAAAGAATACTGCATTGATCGTACATAGAACAATGCATATGGGATAATATGTGATATTTAAAAAGTATGAACCCTAAAACTCCAAGTGTAATTTTTTCTGGTACTTCATACGTTAAACGAACGGCGTATACAAAACCTACAGATATTCATACGGTTTGTTTTTATCTTTTAAAAGAACGTCTATGATCACTAAATGTTGCCTAGTATTATATAACGCACAGTATGTCACCAAAATACCAGAGACAAAAAAACTTCAAAAAATCTGCCTAGTTAATTTACTTTTGTGTAGAGCAAAGGAAAAAAATGCTACGTAAAAGATGAAGTTATGAAATATGTGAAAATCTTCATAGATTTGTCATCAACTTTAAATCAGAGTTCTGTTGCACCAACACTTTTCACTTTGCACTTTGCAAATTTTTATGAGTTTTTGAGCATTTTTCTCTCATTCAGTACATAAAGCATTAATTTGAGAATTGAGTTATGCAAAGTTTTGAAAACACTCTAAAAATGCAAAGCATTGCACCAATGTACTTTTCAATGAAAAGTAAAGTATGAAAAGAAAAGTGAAATATTTGACAAAGAACTGGTTTCTTTGCAATTTCTGTTGCACCAATACTTTTTACTTTGCGCTTTGCAAAAGTAAAATGCAAAACTTTACAAAAAAATTGCAAATGATTAATTCACCCTGCAAATTTTGCAAATGATTGCTTTACACAAAACAAAAGTTTCTTATGTATATTAATAAAAGACAAAATGCGTAAAATGAAAGAAATCATTAATAAATAAATAAAAATAGTTTTAAAAAAATAGAAATAGAAAATTAGTTTAAGCAAATATTATTGCTGTTTTTGAAATAAATTTAGCTGCAATAATTAAAGGGATATATTACCGGACAATACTTTTAAATTGTGAATTAAAGACTTCAGTTTCTAAAAAAACTTTATAATACATTTAATATAAATATTTTCTGTGAATTATTGTTCAAGCATGAACACTTATTTATTATAATGATCAGTTTATTATTATTATAAGTCTGTTATCGTTCAAATTTTCCGAATTATGAACTAAGAAAAAACATGGGTAAAAAATTTCCTATAATAGCTAACATTGTGAAATTTTTAAATATCTAATTATCCGTATCTAATTATGATAATAAAAATATATATCTAAAGACAATAGAAGAAAAAATCACAAATGCCTGGACTTGCGTCGTTTTTTGAACCTTGTTTGAAATGTAATTAAAAATAATACAGTCCACTAAAATTAGTAAAATTAGTTAAGTTAGTTATAAGGTAATTTTGTATAAATTGAGAGAAATGTTCTAAATAAAATCAGTAATTTAGGCCCTTTATGCGTAGGTTTCTTTTCTATTACGATAATACACAGCGACAAGTAAACTATACTTTAATAACTTATAATATTTTAAAATTAAATAATAATGACAGATTTTCAACTAAATTTTTATATAAAAGCAACTTATTATATTTGTTAACTTTGTTTTTCAATATAATTGTTATTAAAACACCTCATACCCATACTCTTTACATATAAATTCTTTCATTATAGCAAAATAAATTAAAAGCATAAAAATTGTCTCTATGGATATACACAACTTCTTTATCTACGATTCAATGTCAATAAAAGAAATCATATACAAAAATTTTGTGTTTTGTATTAATGTATAACATATAATTGTACTAAAATTATACAAATATTAAAAATTATAATAATAAAATTTATTAAAAAAAATATTATTTTAAAAACTTTTATTTTAAACAAAAATATGCATAAATCATGTACTCATAGCATCAAAATATCAAACAAACAAAAAACAAGTATACATACAGAATCGAAATGCTTTCAAAAACCAATACAAAATGAAAGTAATCTAATTTTTTGGTGCAACGCTTTGCTTTGCATTTTATGCAAAGACTTTGCAATGAAATTTTTATTTGCAAAGTGCAAAGTAAATTATGTTAAGTCTTTGGTGCAACGCTTTTCACTTTTACTTTGCAAAAAAGAGTCACTCATAAGTTTTGCAAAATGCAAAGTGAAAAGTGTTGGTGCAACAGGGCCCAGGTTTGCTTTTATTTTTAAGATGGATCTGATGGGTATTCATATTCACTCTTAAATAGTTTATATATTTTGAACCTAAAACTTTTAATGATTACTAAATAAAACAAAATAAAACTTAGTTGAAATAGATCGGTTTTAGCCATTATAGTTACAAAATATATTAAGTATAAAGCACAAAATATTTGTTGGTTTATTATCAATATCAAAGTAGTTTAATTTCGATAGCCATAACTTTAAAAAACATTTTTCTATATCAAGTTAATTTATCACTTTTTACGTGGTGGTGCCCCTTCATCTTCGTTAACTAAATTCTTATCAAACAAAGGGGATGCACACTCTTCATCTGTAAACTCGCTCTCATCAGGATACAGCTCTTCAAAGCTTGGGTAATTTAAAATAGTAAAAGGTAAAGAGCTTTCACTGTTTTCTGAACCTTGAGCTTTAAGAATTGCTAAGTCCTCTAATGTGATATCGTAGTCAGCTGCCAATAGTTCTCCAAAACTTGGATAATTAACCGCAGTTGGAGTTGATAAAAGGATTCCATTGTCTTTTCCAGCCTGAGTACTAGAAATATCAGAATTCATATCTAAAATAAGAGGCGACAACTTCTCCGATGATGGTTGTGATTCATTAGAATAAATCTGTTCAAAACTTGGGTAGCATGTGGATGTAGAAGGAGTTAAACTACTTTCATTACATTTTGAATCTTGAGTTGTAGAAGACAAAACTAATGAGGAACTTATTACTGACATGGCATTGTTTAAGAAAGGTATGCATTCAGAATGGATGCAACCCTCATCGGTATTTGCTTCACATTTAGCAGCTGATAAAAGAGATTCATTAATTTCACTAAATTCCTTTAAACCTACCTGGAGGAGGCCGCTGCTACTAGTACGGAGCGTAGTAGACCTGCAGCAAACTTCTAAAGAGCCGTCAAGTATTTTACCAGAAGTGATGACAGTATCTCCCGTACCAAATTCAGCAGCAGTATTTTGCGTGCCAACGCACTTTTCAGCACGTATTGGATACTTTTGACCGGTTTTATCAATGGAAGCAAAAAGTATAGATGAAATGGGATTCGAAGTGTTGGGTTCCAGAGCACCATTATCCTCCGAACCAAAGGCATTATAAAAATCAGTGTTTTGCATATTTATAAGAGTATTAACTCCAGTATTTTTACATTTCGGCTTATAACGAAATTCCTTGCTTCTATTCAATATACAATTATAGTAACAATAATTTGTATTTACATCAAATGCAACTTACTCGGAAGTGATGTTTAAGACTAGACGTTTATCAGACATTATGCAAAGAAAGAAAGTTTAAGTGATTTTAAAGAGAAAAGAGTGTTTTAAAATAAAAGTATAATTGCAAAATAAAAATTTTCTTCGGTTTAGTTTACAATAAACTTTTTTTTCTTTTCTTTACATATTTACTTAATTTTTAATCAAATCATATTTTTAATTTTCTAGTCTACTTCTTTAAAAAGTTAAATTTAGAGCATAAACTATTCCTTTAAAAAGATTTGCTGGCACTTATGTCTAAGTAAACTTTTTAGATATAATGATGAAATGGCGATTATATAATATTTTGTCATTCAACTAACATTTCAGAAAAGAACGACTGTATTGATTGCGCATTCTCTGATTGTTCATTCTCGCTGATATTAGAATATGGTATAATTGAAAATTGGAAAGGTATAGTCAAATATACAGTGTGACCTTTTTGAAAAAAAAATAATAACAAAATACACTACTTTTCAGTAGACTAAGTATCCATAACTTAATTTTATGGTTTAAAATAAGTTTGTGGCAGCACCAAAAATGTATATAAAGAGCTGTCAACAATGCAGAAAAGAGATAGCAATAGCCGCATCTCCCGCCATTAGTCTTCGTCGTAGTTATTCGGAAGACATGAGAAGTAATGTAATAAACCACTACAAGTTATTGTTTTAAATAATCTATAGTTATCAAGTTACACAATATTAAAGCGATAAATAAGTTAAATGTTAAAATTACTGCTAATAAGTTATATTTAAGTAGTTATAAATAAAAGAACATACTTGTTAGAACTACAACTTCATAAAGACGAAAGCTTTTTATAAAAAATTCAATTTCAAAGTAAACTGCATATAATGGATTATGAAATGGTAACATTGTATTAACTAAACGGTTCTCTATGTTATTATCTATGGTTATCTATTGAAAACAATGTCTTTACCTTATGACAGAAAAGTAACCTCTTAAATAAAATAGTTTAATAATATGCAATAAACGCTCTTTCTATCCTTTCGCTTCCAATGAGGGACATCGAATTTTCAGAAAATGAAAACTGAAAAAAATCATTAATGCCCCTTAATTCAATTAGTTGGGTAAATGAAAAAATGTTTAAAAATATTAATTAACAATAAAACCATGAACAATATAAATTAAAAAGTCTGAGTTGCTATTGTTTGCTAAAACTTGCCGATCAAAGTGACTTTTTTAGTTATTTGGGAAGAACCCAACTGTTTTCCGATTTAACTACCTACCTATTTACTACGAAACACAAAATCTGTCTTAGCCAGCTACAGTCGAAAACAGTAATATATCAGCTGTACTGTTGTACAACTTTTTCTCAACACGTAATCAATTTAAAACGTGAAAACTCTTCTTTCATTTTTATAAAACTCAAATGAAGTAATAATTTTGTATAATTTTTTAATGTTACTTGGGGCAGCAATTCTGTTAATGAATGTTAATGTTAATGTGCCACAAAAGCACATTACAGAAATGTACTTCTTACTACCTTCTCGCATATTAAACGTTTGTAGCTGATATCTGCTGTATATTGTCCATAAATGTTGTGTAATTGCTCATTACATGTTTTTTCAACATTTTTTATGAAAAAGTAATGATTTTAAAAGAGCTAAAATCGTACATAATTCTCGGACTTACACAGCGTATTAGTAACGCGGAAGCCAATGTTTTAAAGTCGTTGCAAATCTTATTAAAGCTTCGGTGTGTTTTCAATTCAAAACAAGACTGTAACGTTGCTTGAACGAAGAGTTGCTAGCAGGTGAGTAGTAAGCAGTCTATGCGAATATGGTTCGATGTAATCAAGGGAAGAGGAAAAAGCCCGTATAACAGAACGTGCAACAAAAGCGAAAAAGTAAATAAATAATTTTTGCTAAAAGCTTTTTAATTGAATTACTTAATATTTTCTACAAACGAGGAGATATATTTTTATCCTGATTCCACTTGTAATTGCAATTGGTTTCCTGCTACTACAATTCACTTCAACGATTTCATTATAAAACGTATCCATTTAACTTTAAAACATTTTTTCCTTCTTTTTTTAAGGATATTTTTTATGTTATTTTAACTTTTTTTCCTTTCCTTATTTTCCTTTTTTTATCATTTGATATATTGAGTACTTTTCACGAAGTGAATTTATCGATAAAAATTAATAAGTTTTAAGTTGGAGGTTGCTAAGAAATGTTTCCTTTTATCTGTTGGGTTGTGCATTCGACAGTATATACACGTATATTGAGTTTGACGGAAGATAAGAATGGTTGTACATTAAATATAATAGGAATTGATAACCACAGTTCAGTGGCTAAACTAAAACTCCAAATTTTCTTCAATTTTCCACATTTTTTCTTAATTTTTGTGAAGTTCAGGAAAAGCTTCAATTTTGACATTTGATTCATTAAGTGTAAAGTGTAGGAAAGAATTATAACATTAATAATATTTATAAATTTTTGTTCTATTAAAAGTAAATACAAAAAAAAAATACCCAATACTCACATATATAAATTATAAAATTCTATTCATTTCTTTATACAAAACCTAAGAAGAGTTTAAATCAACTGCCAAGACCAAAAGGCATAAAGATAGAAATTAATTGAACTTTTAGTTGAATACTGACACAGTAGCAGTGGTGACTTAAAGAGCAGTTATAAACTTAACCGAGTATACTTATAACTTACAAGAAATATTCGTAGAATAAAAAAAGCTACAAAACTAGGCTCTTTTTGACTTTATAACTCTGAAACGACGCACAGAGTGGCAAAACAGAAATTAGCCGATCAAAATTCAAAATGTTTTCTGAACTGGTAGAGACATTGAAATTAAATTTTCTTTAAATATAGACCCAATCGTCCTACTGGAATTTCCCTAAATTTGGGTCCAACCATGGTCAGTTTTCATATTTCGGTAATTACAAAAACTATTATAGGATAAAATTTGAAATTTGGTGTACCAAAATATAAAACATCGGTCATTTTTTATGATTTTCATTTCTATCTGCGATACCCAAGAAATGTATCCGAGTTTTTTTATGAAATTTTTCCAGCTAATAGCCAAATGATAAAGCTTCACAAAAACAAAAAATTTGCCTTCGCACTCTATGTTTTATACTTATTTTAGAACTCAGAAATCACTTAAAAATCACGCTAAATACGATCTTCATTCATTCTAATAATAATAATATAATGACATTTATCATTTTATAAATACATATTTTTATATTTAAAATTTAAAGCAAATCGGTTGAAAAACAACGAAGTTATCACTCATTATACTCAAACGTCTGATCCACAAATACCCATTCTTTTACTACACCCACTTGCCTATCATAGGACGGCAAGTATTTCATTTCCATATCTCTACTGCTTCAGAAAGTATCAAATTATGAACAGCTTATTTTTGTTTTGGCACACAGTACGACGGTAGATAAGGTCTAATACATACTGTGAAGAAAAAGGATTTCTCTACCTTACAGATGCTAAAATTGATTTAACAATACTTCAAACTTAAGTAAAAGGGGTTCTAAATAAAACTATAACCCTATCTACTAAAAACAGTAGAAAACAGAAAACATTTTAAGACTGTACAATAGTGCACAAAGACATAAATAGACTCATTACATTTCACAGGTGTACTCGTCTATTTGTTGCTGACAATACAGCATAAAAAGTTATTAAAAATTATACATTGTCATTTCTGCACACGCACCCGTGCGTCTAAAAGAACCCATATATACATGAGTCTTACACCTCATTACCGATATGTGTTCAGTAACAATTTTCTGCATATTGTAAATGACAAGTCATCAACGTTAATCAACATGAAATAGTGTCAGTACCCAACAAAATTCGCTTTTTCATTTACATTTGACACACTTCGTTCGCTGGACGAGAGGAGCAGAAGGATACAGGGAAGTACATGTCATTATCGTATGAACGGCGGTAAGGTAATGGAACGATAATACGTACTGCATTAAAGTAAGGTGAAAGGAAGAAAGAAGGGTGAAATGGAAACTATTACAAGTGTAATTTAAGCCTTAATGGCAATGCTCCGAATATACAGAAAAAAATTGTAAACTGTGACAAAAAGCTTCAATGACAGTTAGCAAGACTGCCAGAGAGACAGAAACTCATGAACACCGACTGGCATTGCAATGGCTGCAGTATAAATGCAGTATTTAAGGCAAACATTCAGTCTGTTGAACTGTCAGGCTGATAGCCCTCTTAAGCATACGTATAATGAAGCAGAGTCTCACAGTTTTCAGTAAAATTTTTTTGCTTTCTGAATTGAACAGCAGTGAAGTGAACACTATTTTTTCAATAGTGAAAACAAAAGCCTTTAAAAGTGGAAGCAGGAGAAAACATAACGGCCGGCAAAGGGATTCAAAAAAAGTTAGGCAAATATGTGTTATAACTGATGTGTCCGTTTTCTTTTCACAAATAATCTTTCTTTCATACCAAGGGATTGAACACCAAATCAGACACTGGAAATAAAGTCTATGATGTTTTAATTGAATATTTTAAATAGTGCAAGTATATCAGATGTAATCAACTTTCAATATTAAACTTTCTCATAGTCCCTTCCTTTGATTAAATTATTATAAATCCATCTGCAAAAATTAAACTGACACAATTCTGTGGTCATCGTTAAAGATCTGAAGTTCTTCACATAACTTTCTCAAAAGTTGATCGCAATCGACAAAACAAATTTTAAGACATTACATATTCGATTTAGTAAAATAAATAAATACGTTATTTTTACAAGACACGATTTTCACATGTTGTAATGATTAAGAACAAAGCAGCACTTGCCTTCAAGTAGACCCGAGTAAATGGCGGTAGCGAACCTTTTACACGTAAGGAAATTTCTGTAGCACATATGATACACTTATCATTATATTTGTTTTGACTTGTTGCAGATAGTCTCATCTTGTCATTTAATTTATGCAATTTAAAAGAAATAGAAGTATTTCATAAATTTACAGATAGTTCATGTCTATGCCATGGCAATTTTTACCAGATTTCTGAAATATTTTTAATGTAATAAATACGTCTAATATCATATAAAACATATAGGTATTTATTGTACGAAATCAG